TAATTTCAGAGACCATAACGATTATAAGAAATAAAATTAAATATTGCTGTATATCTATTACTAAACAATGGAAAACTTACACATATGTTAGTGTTTGGCCGAGCTTCTCCTCCGATTTGTGGCGTGCGCCTTGATGTTGTCACACAAAGCGGAGGGACCTACAGTTTTACGCCTACTCCGAACGGCGATTGTATTTTTATGAGAAGCTGATTTTCATGGCAGAAATGCACTCGGAGGTTGCCTGCCGAGGGACGACCGCTGTTAAGAAAAAACCTTTTTCTCTATATTTTTTTGCTATATTGCTTTGATCAGGGCTTGACCATGGGTGCTACGGAGTGGAAGCGCGCACTGCTTACCACTACACCACATTGCTGACAGATTGAACGGAGCTACCGCATGGAACCTATTTCATCAAATTCAAAATATATATTGACGTAATCATTGACATAAATTTTCACAAAAGATTCCACAACGCCAACGCTTCACCGCGACCAAAAAAGCACTTTGCAATAAATCAGCTACCAATTGAATGGCCATTCCACTGTCACATATTTTTAGGCAATCTGTCTATTTTCTGTGAAGCCACAACAATGGCGACTAAGCGCTACAAATTGGCAAATAACAAAGCGCACATATACATTATCGAAATGCCAGCGAGCATCAAAGTTAATGCTACGAAAATGGAATAAATAAAGGTCTAATATTCTTGGCAATTATGTATATACATATCGATGGTCCTCTGCAATAACGGCACAACTCAAAAATTTCATGACTTTCATTTATATATTTTCCAGTGGCATATCGACATACGCTTACTCGCAACCAATCCGCCGTTGTTTAGTAATAAGAGTGGAGTTATTTTCATTAAACTTATTAGGAGTTGTTACTTATTTCGTATTTTTTCAGTCCAACCCTTACTAAATCTTTAGGAAAAAGTCATAGTTTGAAAGCCCTTAAATTTTCCCTACAGAATAACTGCAACTAATCCGGATTAATTACGTTCAAGACATATTATTGCTAATTTACGAAACACAAAATCTTGAATTGACTCTACTAAAATATATGAAATTTTGAGTTGTGTCATTATTGCAGTGCACCATCGATTTGTATACATAAGTGTGTACATATGGTCGATTATTGGACTGGCAACGTTACATTCGTACGCATTTTTTCAACAATATGAATCAATTGTCCATTATATAACAGAAAACAACCTCGGTTTTTGAGATGATGTGATTAGGCATGGTCAAATCTATGTTTCCGTAAAAGAAATGTTTTAATAATTCCTCTGGTTTCAAAGTTACAGGCATTCGAATGTGCACTGGCTACGTTACATTATTTAGAAGTTCAATGATTGCTCATGTCAGAAAGGTCATCTTAAATGAATGCAGGAGGACTTCTGCATACTCAATAGTTAACAATTTTGGGTTTTTTGCAGATATTTCTCATAAAATTTGGGCACTGGTAACGTTACACAAAACACTGGCTACGTTACACGTACGGCTAGCTGTGGCGAGGTTTAACCAGGAGGCTTCGCTAAAACATTTTTTCTTCGCGTTCTTATTCCGTCAGCATAAACAAATGTGTGAACTATAATAAAGAATCTTCTATTCAAGGATTAAGAAATATAACTCGATTATCCTTAAAAATTCTAATTAGGTCAAAAGTTATCCTACAATAAAATTCTTGACCGGAAAATCTTCGTTTTGTCATCGCAAATAAAAATTACTTAACTTTACTGCAAAAACCACTTATGTCTAATAACTTAAAATAGCCATAAGTCCATCTAAATTGTTTTGTGTTTTCTTTTTAATACTTTCTGAATCATTGTTTTCTTCCAATGCCATCCAAGATAATATCAAAACTGATACGGTGATTTCTACAACTTCTTTAATCTCAGATATAAAAATCTGAATGCATTTAACGCAGTTATATAGAAGAAATCTCGCATAAACAATTTATAACAAAATATGCGGGAAATGCATAAGTCGCTTAAACAACAACTCTTTGTAGTCTGGCGTACTCTTGTATCAGATTCTATAAAATTGTAGTGATAGGAACACAATCGGGTTTAATGGGGCAGATAAATTATCAGTTTTACATATTGCAAAATGTTTCTAGGCAATTAAATATATAATCAAACTCTTTAAAGATATAGATTTCAAAGAATATTTTACAACTGTTAGCTTCACTTTATGTAAATAGAATAGTTATCAACACTTAGTAGTATAATACCCAATTCGCAATTGTTCATGCAAATACTTTCTTCAACATGTCTTATTATTTATTGTTAAAATGAAATGAGTATAATTATCAAGTCAATAAAAAAACAATTTAAATAAAAAGAAAAACACTGGGACACATATGGCATACGTAGGATGTCGACAATACTAAGAAAATATGTCAAATATCCTTTTGTAAAGGATACTAAAGTATCCAAAAACCAACTTTTTTAGTCTTTCACTGGCTACCTTACATTTAACATTTGCGGTATATTTCATTACGACTTAATAGGAGTTCCAAACAACGCTAACTTGGAACGTATCCTGTTAAACTAATTTATTTTCTACCGTTCAGAATTTTATCATCCAAAATAAACGAAGGAAAGCTTGTGTTTTCATAGTATTTCTTGTTATAGTATTGAGTTATAGTATTGTTATAGTATTGAGTATTGATTATTATAGGTTCGAGAAAAGCTTTCGACAAAAGGAGCGAAATATTAAACACATGATAAAAATTGGACATTATAAAAGTTAGTGTCAGAAGCAGCTGACAGATATAGTGAATACCAATAATCACCAATATGTACAATATTTGAAAGAAAGAAAAAATCGGACTAGTTTACTTTCCTGTAGAATCGATCATACGTAAACACACATACGGAGCATGCTTTTAAAAAGTGTATTAACTCACATTTTGTAGTTTTTTACATTAATAATAATAATAATATTTTGGCACTTAAGCTTGAAATTAAGCTTGTTGCATTGAAAACGGCAGACTACGGAGCACAGCTGTAGATAGTTTATTTTCACTATCGTTTTGCGAATACTAATACCAATGGCTTCCATCGCCGGATTTGACTTCAATTTGAAGCTAGCCGTTCCCAGTTTTCATATTTCTGCGCAAGTTCGCCTAGTGCTTGGCGCCGACTTCTATGCGAAGATTCTATTAGGTATGCTTCCACCTCGGACAATGGGCCATATTTTAGCGCAGAACACCACCTTTGGATGGGTGATCTCTGGCGCCTGCTAGACACCCGTTTTTCAAATATTTATTTTTTTATTTTTATACATTTCATATTTACTTAGGACATGTTTACATATATCATGATTGCCATTAATAAACGAATAGGTACAAGGGAAATTTTACGCCATGTTTATTTTTAACAGTTTTCTTTTCGGTCAAAAGTTTAGATACCGCCAATGTAGACCAGTACTGCATGATGGCAAATATTTCGTTTTAAGTAATGAATAAATAGAGGTAGCTAAACTGATCATGATGGCTGGACGTGCAGAAAATATTGCGTATCTCAAAGGGCCGGCCCCTTGTCCATATAAGACAACTTCCAAAATTGCTTAAAATGTTTCTATCGAATAATTTGTAATAAATTCAAAATTAGAATTTCTTCTCTTACAAAAAAAATTGCGAAACAAACATTGCTAGCGAATAGTTATTCTGCCGAAATCCAGAGTAAAATCTAAACTTTTTTATTTTAGTCTTAAAACTGGCCCGCCATTTGCTAAAGGATTCTTCGATTTAAAAAAGAAATTGAGGAACAAATGTTTACACATGGATATTCCACTCAAATCCACAACAAAATCTTTGTTAAGTTAACTTTCTAGTGGATTGTCGCCTTAACCAAAAATCTTTCTGAACAAAACTTTTTATTGGATGGATGTTCTACCGGAATACGTAATAAAATTCTATACTTTTGCAAAAACACGATTTTTGATCCTTGCTCTGTATACTGAAATACATTTTCTTTACAATGGGCCGTATGAATAAAAATAAGCAATTGCTTTTTCTTAAAATTTCAGATCTTTTACTCAATTTATTCAAACAAAATTGAAGTAAAAGGTATGAAATTTTAAGAAAAAGCAATGGCTTAGTTTTTATTCATACGGCCCAATAAAAGCCTAGAAAGATTCTAACCGAATTGACATTGATGAAAGTTTTCCGATTTTCCTTTTAAATTTTTTTAAATTAGATTTTTTTTTAATCTATACATATAATAAAACTGTAACACGCTAATGTCCGTACATTATAGATAAAAAAAAATTAAAATGGGGATATTTGTAAGAGCAACAGAAGCCAAATCAACAATTTTTAGAATATTTGTCTGTCTGTCTATCTGTCTGTATGTTTATACGCGCATCACTCGAAAACTAATACATATGTACCTGTTCGAAAAGTGCAGTTTAAATATAATGATAAGATAAATTAAATATTGCAATATGGCTGACAAAAAAAGGTTTAAAAAATCCTACAGCTGAACAAATTTTTGTTGCAGGTTGCCACTTGTTTGAAATTTGTAATTTAATTTAATTAATAGGATAAATTAAATAATGCAATATGGATATAAAACTAAAGATTTTTAGAAAATTTTACTGCCGAAATATTTTTGAGGGGGTGGCCACCTATTTGAAAAATTTAATTAAGTGAAGCACGCAAGTGATGCAAAATAAACTGACAATATTTTACATGAAAAGCATTGAGGATATTTAAAAAAATCAATTAACGCAGAGTAATTCTACAAAGTGTAAGTAAATATTGTCAAGGATTCAAAAGAATCACTGTGCCTAAATTTTTTGATTCACTGTATTCAACAATAAAAAAACAAGATATTGCCTAAACTGCTTTACCAGAAGAACTGTGCTTATAACCATAGTCACCTCTGTGCTATAAAACTCATTGATTATAATGTTTCTTGATATTTGATCTATTTTGCAAATTTATTACGCACAGGTATGTCAGTAAAAATGTAATGGGGCAGTCTCCAATTATGTAAATCTATCACCGTATTTATTGAATATACATACAATATATATGCATTCGAAAGTCATATTAAAATTAAGCCGCTGGTTGGCCATCGACTTCATTTATTATGTAATTGAGTTTCTTAATTGTCAATTCGACATCTGCATCGCTAATCTGGTGGTACAACACAATTCGTGCGAATTCCCAATCGCGTGCACTCACTTGCAACACAATACCCTGCTCTTTGTTTGCACCAAACACGCCAGCTGCCAGTTCCTCCCGCGTGACTTTAGCACAACGCTTGGCAAATTCACTAGCGCCGAATTTCGCATTTGGTAGACGAATTAGTAAAATATTCGAGTGAACGTTGGGTAAATCTACAGTGACATTGGGACTTTGAGTTTTGTGAATGGCTGAAAAGGAAATGAAATCAAATGGTTATACATAAAAAAATATATTACAAAAGTTAATTGTCGATTGAAAAAGGTGCAGTTGTCTAGACAGATTTCAAAGCCACTTTATATTGAAGACATTCTCCTGCTTTGCCAATTTCCACTTCATTTATTAACTACCAAAAGTCGTATAGGTTTAATGATAAATGTGCACGACAAAAATTAGTTACCTTCAGCAATGCGTCGAGTCCTATCATGATCTGCTCCCAGACGAGGCACAATTGTATCCAATGCTACGATTCCTGCAGCAGCCAGTATGCCAGCTTGCCGCATGCCGCCACCTAAAGCTTTACGCAGACGGCGAGCGCTGCAACGTTGAGACGTTGAGAAAAAGAAAGATAAGAAAGGAAGTCCCATTAAAAAAAAAAGAAAAACGAATTACGACGATTAGGAAAGCAGAACGAAAACAAAAGGTGCAGAAACTGTAAGCGAACTCCTTTGCAATGTATGTAAGTGCTTGCGATGCAAAATATCGAGTTGGTTAAAAAAAATATTCGTACATGCATACATTCATTTTTACACTTTCCTATTTCGAAGCAATCAAATTGGCAACTGGCGCAAAAGCAATCGCCTTAGACTTAGCAATCGCCTGCGTTCACACTAAACGCAAATCTATTATTGCCACATCATCCCACACACACACACACACACCCACCTTTTATTTCATTATTACTTTCCCCCTCTTAAATACGCTCTACTCACTGTCTAATGAAGGATTTTGATCCCACCAGTATGGAGCCCACCGGCGCCGATAGTCCTTTGCTCAAACAAAAATTAACCGAATCGAAATCGCGCGCAATTCGCGCCACAGGCACCTGCAACGCTTCGGCGGCATTAAAGATGCGCGCACCGTCCATGTGCAGAGCAATCCGTTTGCCGTACGGATGTAGCCGTTTGTCGCCCTTGAGTAACGCGGCCAGCTTATCGAGCCACTCCAGCGGTATTACCTTGCCGCCGCATATATTTTGTGTATTCTCAACTATTACCAACGAAGTAATTGGCTCATGATCATCCTCTAGGCGCACCTTGCGTCGCAACGCTTCGAGGCAGAAGGTGCCATCCTCGTTATTTGGAAGTGTGGCTAATTGCACGCCAGCGATATGAGCAGCTCCACCTAAATAAAGAAGAATAAATAAAGAAGAGAGACGGTATTAGACTAATACATTGTAGACGTAAGTGCATATTTATGTACGAATGCATGTGGGTGTATGTACAAATGCCACTGGAAGCAGCGTCATAGATTAAGCATGAATAATGGCATTAAAAAAAATTAAATAAATGAAGTATCCTAAAAATTATGGCTTATGTTGAAGATGCTCTGTTCTGATAAATGGGATTTCTCACATAACTTAAATTTTTCCCATATAAAGCCCTTTCGAAAGTAGCAGACAAATTTTTAACACAAATAAATTTCGTGACAACTCAGGAGCATTAACATAGTTTATATTGTTTGAAAGAAAGTACAAAACCTTTAATAATGGCAAGGCAAGGTCAAATCATGATATATGTGTATTTTTAACAATTCAATTTAATTACGTAAACCATACCTTAGACTGAATTTCCACTAGGCATTAAATGATAACCTCTTTATTGAAAATATTGGACATAAAACAAAACCCGTGCCATTAAGGTGCCTTTACACGAGTAGATTTTTGTCATTCAACCAAAATCGACCATTGTAAATGGCAATTCAATTGTAAAATGTAAGTGTTTTGGTGGGTCGATTTTCAAGTCATCGGAAATCGATCCGTGTAAAGGCAGCCTTACATTTTTAAAAATAGTCATTATATCTGTTTCCACATGGCATTTTTTAAATTACCTTAACTTTTTGTCATAGTGGAAATTCGGCTTTAGACGTGCTGTACTCTGACAGAACTAACTCAATTAGAGATAGTTCACAATCTCAGGCCACATTTGCAGGCATATCCTGCACGTTACCGAATATTTTGTTAGCGGAAAATGTTATTACCAAAAATGTTTACCATTTTTTAGAACCACAATTATATTGGCAACTCTATCAATATAGTAGCGATTCAGCTATGAAATAATGGTTTTGCATACTTCATGGGGCAGTATCGTGCTTCCAGCTGGTAGCAAAATTTAACTGTTACAAGACTCCACATAATGCGAAAAAGGTTACTAGTGCTGAATAGAGCTGTTAAAAAACCTTCCGAAAACCTTGAGGACAAATAATTGGCCAAGTGGTTGGAAGTGCGTCTAAGCTCTTATGGGCAGTACTGTATGAAAGACTGAAGCGCTTCATGAACCAAATAATTGCACCTTATCAGTTTGGATTTCTGCCACCAAACACACCGCCATCGGCCAGATCTTCACAGTTTATTAAATTCTGGAAAACCGCTTTGATAAACAAATTGACACAAACCACCCTTTGTCTAGTTTCTCTAAAAATCTGTCACCATAGCAGTTGTCAAAGAAAGATGGGCAGGGCAAAGGCTCTGTTCGCAAAGGCGACGAGAAAGCGTAAGTGCAAACATACAAAGTATTCTTAGATTTGTGCAACATGCTTTGCATGCCAATATTTTTAGAATTTTTCCAGAATTCTTGTAACAGCATTCTCTAAGTCCCAGGTGAAAAACGCACCCTCAAAAGTACGTCACATCTTTGCCTTTATTTATTAATTAACAAAAAGTTAACGAGTGATGTTTATGTATAATCCATCTAAATTTGTTGCCAACTAATTTTGTTACAGGAGTTCAAAATTCACTAAAATCCATGCAAACTTTTCTCGTTTTTTCGATTAACCATTCTTTAGTGGATGACACAACTTTAAATATTTTTTCACCATTTTCAGTTACGCTTGCGGCAGTTCGTTGCATTCTTCAACACCGCCAACATTCAAATCTACCGAGACCATAGCGGGAATCCAAAGAGTTACAAACTGCACTACATCAAAAATAAATTTTTTATTGCCCCATTTTTTATCTCCGACCAGCATACATATACATATGCATATGTACATTATGGTGGGTCAATACTTTTTGACTATGCGCGTATAGCATAGGAGGATTCGACGTGTAATTCTAAGCAAATGTGTCTAAAACCAAAAAATGTGAAAGTTTTCACTATTGCGACCTCTGGTGGAAGTTTTAAGAAGAAGATAAGTTTACTACTAAAAAGCCCTTTTAGAACATTTTTGTAGAAAATTTAAGCACTTATTTACGAAATTACATCAAAATGCTAATGTATTTTCACAGTTTGGCAAACTCCAAATTGATTTTTAGCCCATAGTTTCTTCGGCAAATTTGCTTAGAATTACACGTAGGATCCTGCTGTGTTATACGTGCATGGTCGAAAAAATCTCCCATACAAATTGACCCGCCCCTCAGTGGTCGGATAAGCCATGTTTTACGCGAAAAGGCGTATTTTAAAACTGCGATAAATTAACCGAAAAAATGCTATTCTTATTCCGATATGTCCTATCAGTATACCAATCTTAGCAGTTGTTCCAAATGACTTAAAGTGTATTAAAATATTGAAGATTAATAAAGTCAATTTTCAAAAATCCAATAAAGAATTCAATATAGCGTCCAATAATTCACAATTTTTTTGAATTTTCATGAAATTCGGCATTTAGAGGTTCTTAAGTTCACTAATTACAAATTTCAAACTCGTTTTTAAAAATTCAAAATGCAAAATCCAATATGGCGTCGAAAATTTCTAAATATCCCGTGGTGGAATTATAACAGTTTAAATAATTAGTGCGAGGAGAAGGATTTTGACACTGCCTTATTTAAAAATTTGCATATAAAATCTGACTATAAGGCAGACGAGTGCCAGAAAATAAAGCGAGAAAGCTGTTTTATTACTTCATCTATTTATTGCGCCATGCAAAAATTCAAACCAGCAGAAAACTCTCAGCAGTAAAATTCAAATGAATTTTTATCTGATCTCTCTCAAAGAGAGAAATGTTAGCAAGAGTAAGAGAATGCAAAACTAGCAAAAACTTGCGAGTTTTTAGTACAGCTGATCGAAATTTTGTTTACATACAAAAGCATAAAACAGAAAACATGAAAACAATATAAATTAAAAGTTTTCCTAAAGCAATTTGCCAAACAAACTTGAGTAAATGGGTATTTGCTTTCTTCCGATACATATGCAGTTCTAATGAGTTATTTCAAACTTAAAAATCAATAATAAATCTCAATCTACATCTAAAATAAAATTCCATATTTTCATAAATTGAGAACAAGTGACTTTGATCAGCTGTTTTTCTTGCTGGCAAATGGCTGCTGGCAAAAATTTTTTCAGTAGAAACTAGCAGCTTTTCATCAGAATGAAATGTCAATTTGGTCTCTCAATTACGCCTACTTTGCTGGATTTTTGTGTACGAGAACAAGAAAATCTGATACGCAAATAAACCTTTTATTTAAAAATGAGAAAACTAAAGTTTAGGAAATTACAAATTTCGTATAAAATAAAAAAGTCTTAAAAAAAACTGTAGGGCCTAGATTAAATTGCTTGGGCTGAACATTTAGCAGACGGCCTGAACCATACCTAATTTTTATGTATAATTATTGTTACTATTTCATGATTTGATCATAAATTCATTTTAGATATGTTTCCTCGTATAAAATAAATCAAATTTTACTAAACAAATATATTGTGTTACTCAACTGAAAATTACAGTTGATATGACCGTTGTCAACCGTAAAAGTTTGAATATGATACAGAACTCGAGATCAGTGAGCCTTAAAACATAGTACGTTTAATTCTTGAGAAATTTTCTTCTTTATTTCTAGAGAAATTGACAGCCCTTCGTCAGTTGTAAACTCTTAAGGTTTTGATTTGACGTAAATGCGTGACTAGCGTGTCTAAAATATCAGTAGCATCTCAAAAAAAAATGTGCTTATTTTTAGAAATAATAACAGTTTATTTGACAGTTGTCAACTCTCAAAGCTTTAATTTAAATTAGGGCTGTGCGATTAATTGATTATTCAAAATTTTAATTAATCATAAAGTAAATAACTCAATTATTCGATCAATTGGAAATTATGATTACTCAAAGGTTCAGTTACTCGAGTAATCAAGATTTTGATTAACCAAAAACAAAAATATTTGAGTAATTTTCATTATGATTAATCAACATTATGAGTAAAATGAGTAATCAATATTTCAAATTACCCTTTACATATAAAGCAGTTGAAGTTCCTTGATATTTTGAAAAGAACTTTTCTGTTTTCTAAAATTAAAATTAAATATTTTTTTCATATACAGAATGTAAAACACAAAATACGCATTTTCCACAGCAAACTTTTTTAACGAGCAAAATACATTTTTTGGGTGATCATATTTCATGAAGTAACTCGATTAATCGCCGTTTTGAGTAATCAAAATCTTGATTACTCGAGTAATTCACTAATCGAATAACTGATTAACCAACTTCCTCGAGTATATTCGGATTTAGCATTACCACAATACTACGATACCGTTATTTTATTATAATCGTAATTAATTTTCCGTGTAAAACTTCGCTTCCCCGACCACTGTGCGCCCTAATGTACTTACATATGTACATGGATATGCCGGCTAACTAAATACGAATGTATGTTTCGGCCTGACTGCTGTACATATGCAAGTTGCCGTGTATGTATGTACATATGTATTGGAAAGTTTATAATTTTTTGTGTCAGATGAGTGAATTTTTTCGTGCTTTTCTGAACAAACTGGCTTATGTTTATTTTTCCATGTTTGTTGCTATTAAACGACTACTGTTACTTCCAGCCATTTTTCCTGTAGCAAATTGCATTATTGTGCGCATTTTAATGACTACAACAAAACAGGAAAAGTTCAGAGTGAAAAGTTAAGCGTTGTGCCGTACATATGTATGTATGTGTGTATGTATGGATTTTGAAAGGCTACAAGTATGTAAGCGCGTGTGCATACCTATGAATGCAAATATGTGCGCGCTACCGTGTAGATGTTATCGGATATAGGTAACATGGGATGGCATGGCATTTATACTCGCATATCCGGTGTTATGTTCGGCAGGCTGATACGTTGCAACTACAACACACACACACACATATATATTCAGCAATACACTGAACAATATTTGTGCCTTCCACTGCTTTTGTACTATTCACTCGTGCTCAGAAACTGCCAATCCCTTATTCTATAATATATATATCTTCTCGCTTTACTTCTAGTATTTCCTCATATACATAAAAAAAATGTATTCCTTTTCATTTTTTATTTGAAACTTTTAATTTCAGCGCTTCTCAACTTTTCAGGAAATGAAACTCACCTTGCTCATAGAGATATACATGAGATAAATCACCCACAATTGCTTCCGAGCCACGCTGTTGACAGTGCACCATACCTGAAAAGTATAAAAGTGGCAAGATAAGAATATGATATACTATGTATGTATGTAGATGAATGTATATGTACGTTTGCATGTGTGTGTGCAAAGGTATGTATGAATTTGCGAAGGGAACATAAATTTGTTGATTTTCTGGCGAAATTTTAGAAGTAAGCAAGCACCAGAAGGATACACCTGCAAATGCAGACCCACATCAACAATCACACTCACTTGCAAGTTTGCACACCTGTAGTTATACATATATGTATGTATGTAGTAAGCATATCTACATTTAGTGGCATGTGGCGAGCGTACACACTCAGTGTGAAGGTTCAGAAACCATGAAAGTGAATTACATTCCTTGGCGCCAACAGCATCAGAAGCTTCAGCCACTACAACCATTACAGCAATTCCAACAAAAGCATTGCAGGCTGCATTCTGTTAAGCGAAGGTTTACTTGAAATTTATAAAGAAATATCACTTTGGAGCGAGGCGTTAAAATTCCCAGTTTGAAATATTTATATGCGGTATGTGGTTTTAAGTGCTTATGGAATTAGAGCGCAATGGCAATTTTAAGTAATAATTTCTTTGATTACTTACATACAATATACATATGTACTATACATATGCCCTGCACTTTTGGCTTGGTGACGACAACATTGTGTTTGCTCGAAAAAGATGTGCCTTTGTTGATATGGATAGAGAGTATCTACGTAACTTAAATATTATTTGATCTAATAAATCAGAAGCCTCGTAACTACTTACATACTAAGCATAAATTATTAATTTAATTTAAATGCTAGGAACGAATAAGTACACTGAAGATGGCAAAACGTCGAAACCGGTTTGTCTCCAAACACAAAGTTGACCAGGAATGACGTTCCACAATACATCGTATTGTGGCTTACCACCATCAACTCAGTACTATTCAAGCTCAACGCGGGAGGAATAAAAGTGCTGGCCTATGCTGACGACATCATGGATGGAGCTCTAGGAAAGATAAGCCCAAAACTAGCTTGCCTTAACACCACAAATAATGTCAGCTACGTAAGCGTATATTCGGATGGGAACTCACCCCTCCAATGAAAAGACTTAACAAGCCTCGGAATACGCACTAAAAATCTCTCATCATACCCGTCGTTTTATATGTCGCAGAAACATGGATGATATCTAACAGGGATGGGAAGGCTTTGGGGACTTGCGAGGCATTTTTTTCATTTAAGATATATGGCGTTGGCGGCAAGTACCGAGTACGGTGTAATGACGAACTGTACGAGCTTTTCAACGAGATAATAATAATAATAATAATAATATCCCAACGGTTTTTACCCTCCAT